GCAGCAGGCAGCTGAGTGGTGGGGACCCTGTGAGAACAGGGAGCAGTAGGGGCTGCAGGCAGGAGAGTGGTGGGGACCCCGTGAGAACAGGGAGCAGGGGGGCTGCAGGCAGGTGAGTGGTGGGGACCCCGTGAGAACACGGGTGAGTGGGGGCTGCAGGCAGCTGAGTGGTGGGGACCCCGTGAGAACAGGGGTGAGTGGGGGCTGCAGGCAGGTGAGTGGTGGGGACCCCGTGAGAACACGGGTGAGTGGGGGCTGCAGGCAGCTGAGTGGTGGGGACCCCGTGAGAACAGCGAGCAGTGGGGCTGCAGGCAGGTGAGTGGTGGGGACCCCGTGAGAACAGGGAGCAGTGGGGGCAGCAGGCAGCTGAGTGGTGGGGACCCCGTGAGAACAGGGGTGAGTGGGGGCTGCAGGCAGGAGAGTGGTGCTGAGCACCCAAGATCCTTACTCTTCTCAAGCAGCTTTCCTGCCAGACCCTCACTGCCTCCTGAGACGCAAAAGCTCGCTAAGTCACTGTTTAAAATGGGCAGAAAGTGGAGTAATCACTGGGACAGCCACCACTCAGAGATGGAAAAGCTTGCTAGAGACGGAGTTGGCCTTGAGCACAGGCACACGTGGGAGCACTCGTGGAGCAGGCCACGGCAGCCCTTGAGGAGGGCCACGGCTTAGGCTGTGCCAGACTGCCACCGTGCATGGAGGCGCTGCAGATGCACCGCAGAGGGCGTCACGAGCCAGAGTCAGCACCCACAGCAAGGGTAAGAGTGGCACGCCTCTTTCACATCTGAGGGGACGGCAGCAACCTGTGGCCAGGCACCGTGGTGGCACAGAGCCAGCAATTCAGGGAGAGGAGGGGCTTGCAAACAAGCTGCAAACTGGTCCTGGGATTGCCAGCGGAAAGTAGACACGGGAGAAGGGGTTTTTAAGAACAGAAGTGTTCAGAACTTACACTTCTGGCTAACAGAGATAAATCTCGAGTATCCTGAATAGCTCCAGCTGTCACATTTGAGAGGAAAATCATACTGAAAAAGAATGAAATACACAGAAGGAAAACAGATTCGATCGGCCAAATCTGAAAGACGGGAAAATCTCCATAAAGTGCAATTCTTGGGAGGGAAAAACACCTGTTCAAAGAGCTGTTTGTGAAAGGGGTTAGCTGTTACCAAACTCACATGTTAGAACAAGGACAGACTGACAGCGGAATTTCACAGCGATGACGATTTAGGATAAATACAGTGGAATGATATTATGGCAATGCCTATAACTCTGGGTAGTACACACCTCTTACAGGGCATGGAAATGCAATGCGTTGACTGGCCAGTCTTTCCTGGAATGGAGTGTTAAATGGAGAGTCTACCTCCTCCACTGTGGGTGGTTCTGTGAGAAAAACAAATGCAGTATCAGTGGCTTTTCTTGGGCAACTTCAAATGCTGCCGAGGCACCATCAAGCACCTGCATCGATCAGCGGCTACACCTATTACCCTGAACATGCCTGAACGTGATGGATTCTTGGCCAGAACAGCCCAGAAGCAGGGTCTGGCTTTGTCCTGGCTTTCTCACCTGCCTAGAACACGCCAGACTCCTGGCAGGAACTGGAGGAGCATGTGCTGCTCGAGAGAATAGACACTGATGGTTCACACCTCAAAACACGGCCAGGGCCGGAGGCGGGCAGTGACCCTTCCTCCAAGGGACCGACTGTAAGACGAGGACCTGTCACTGAGAATGAAGTCCTACGCCAACGCCCTCAGCCCCCGCGTCCCTCAACCAGAAGCAGCGCACAGGGGGCTATCCACAGTGCTTTCCATTGCTGCATCTCCCACGGCAACTTCTCCTGCAAAAAGTAGATGTGCAAGAATGGACGCAGGCTGCGTGAGAGAACAGTAACGCTTCTTCATGAACAGTCTCCTTTCAGTTAGAGTCACAAAAGATCATCAGAGAGGTCTTCCCCAAACGGTCCTAGACTCGCTCATACAGACCCTGGCGCTTTCCCTACGCCCTGCCCCCACCGCGAGCGTTCCACGTCATACAGCACCTTGGACATGTAGCGTTATCTCCGCTTCGTCACTGCCTGCTACGTTCGTGGCGACACACGTGTAAAGGCCCGCGTCTGAGAGCGCGGCTTGCTGCAAGCTCAGAGTCCCATCGGGACGGCTCAGGCGCTGCACCCCATCGAGCAGCAGGGTCCGTCCACCCTTCACCCAGGTCAGGACGGGGCGAGGCGTCCCCTGGGCGTTGCAGGGAACATCCGCTCTCTGCCCGATCCGGACTTTCACATGTTTTGGGCCACGCTGTATCTTTGGAGGCACTGGAAATAACAATGGAAATTAATGATTCAACCAAAGAAAAGTTTAAATGGGAGCTCCTTACCGTGAAGCATCATAGAAAAGTAGAACCGTCTCAAGCTGGAGATCTGGAACCAGGGTCGGCCTGCTCACCAGCTGGGGGGTGCAGAGTGGCCACAGGTGTCCTGAGGCCTGTTACCCTCCCAATGCAGCAAGATCCCACTCCATTACATGAATGATGGGACATAACAAATACAAAACGGCCTTCCAAACTGGAGCAAAGCCAGTATTTGAAAAATGTAATTTAAGGTTTCAAAACCTCCTCTAAGAGGCAATCCAAATACGTTTGCTAACCTAAGAGTGAAACAGAAGGCACGCCTGTCCCGCGCTCCGTCTGTCCTCTGCACAGGGGCGTTAGGAAGCCTCCCCTAAGGCGTCTGTGGATTTCAGAGGGGGGGCTTGGCCTTGTCACTTCCCTTTGTCTGCCTCCCTTCAGAAATCCAAGTGAAGGAATTTACGTCAATAATTGCGAAGGATTCCTGCTTTCCACACCAATGCCCTGTGTATTGTGCAGTCACTTTGAGCCACAGGTGTTTTTTTTTTTTTAATTAATTAATTTATTTGAAAGGCAAAGCAAGAGAGAGATCAAGATCTTCCGTCCACGGATTCACTCCCCCAGATGGCCACAACAGCCAGATCGGAAGCCAGGAGCCAGGAACTCCATCTGGGTCTCCCACAGGGGTGTGGGTCCAAGGACTTGGGCCTCTTCTGCTGCCTTCCCAGGCACATTAGCAGGGAGCTGGATCAGAATTGGAACAGCCAGGACTGGAACCTGTCTTCTGTTACGGGATGCTGGTATCATGAGCAGCAGGTTTGCCCCAAAGATCATTATTTTAGGAAAGAAAACCAAAGGTCAGAGAGGTTAGGTGATAAATGAATGCCCTAGAGCTGTAAACAGGACTCCCATCTGGTCTCCAAACCCGCTGTCGAAAGGACCATTTGACCTTGCGTGACCATTTGGTCCTGTCAAACTGCAGGATGCAGCAGACCAATTAGAGTGGTCAAGAGGGCAATGAATCAGGAAGCAGGACTTTTCCAGTCGCAGAGCTATCTGAATATGAGAGCGCTTCAGAAAGCAACTGTGTATCGTGTAACCAGGACACGTGTGCCTCTCCTGCAGCTACCGCTGAGTGCAGGCTGCTGGCTGTGTGGCAGCAGCCACGGCCCCATCCCCGGCACAGAGCACCTTCAGCAGGGAGCCGCCGGCTGGGACCCCTACCCATGAGGATGGCGTCTTCCTTAAAACTGACCAAGGGCGACACACTCCTCCATTCATGACATTGCAACTGGTGCAGACAAGGATGAGAAGTACCAGGCTGGCCTAATGCAAAAAGGGAGCTTGCGGCCGGCGCCGTGGCTCAATAGGCTAATCCTCCACCTTGCGGCGCCGGCACACCGGGTTCTAGTCCCGGTCGGGGCGCCGGATTCTGTCCCGGTTGCCCCTCTTCCAGGCCAGCTCTCTGCTATGGCCAGGGAGTGCAGTGGAGGATGGCCCAGGTGCTTGGGCCCTGCACCCCATGGGAGACCAGGAAAAGCACCTGGATCCTGGCTCCTCCATCGGATCAGCGCGGTGTGCCGGCTGCAGCGGCGGCCATTGGAGGGTGAACCAACGGCAAAGGAAGACCTTTCTCTCTGTCTCTCTCTCTCTCACTGTCCACTCTGTCTGTCAAAAAAAAATAAATAAATAAAAAAAATAAATAAAAAATAAAAAATAAAAAAAAAAGGGAGCTTGCTATAAAGGGCCCTTTAAATTCAATGAAGCAGAATGTGAAGAAAAAACCCCATAACACCACCAACTTATTCCCTTACAGGGAACTATGGCCCATCCCTCAGACTCGGAAAGGCCCCAGACACAATGACAAACACACTGGCTGTTCTTAAGACAACGACAGGACTGATGAGTGTGAAACTCGAAGAAAGGTGTGTGCAAGAGTGAAAGTGCGCAAGGGTGAACGTTGTGGGCATATTGTGACTGACGAAGTGGAAACTGACTGGATGGTCAGGGCCTTTAATGTGCACGATCCTGATGAGGCCAATTATAATGACATTAATGACGTCAAAAGGCTGAAACCCAGTGACTTAGAAGGTCCTGGGGACTGCTTCAGAGGGTTCAAGTTTCCTGATAGAAAAACAGAAAATGAACTTGCTTTCAGTGTAGAATTTAAGGATAAGGACTTTGCAGTCAAAATTATTAAAAGCACTTATGACCACTGGAAAGCTTTAGTGACTAAGAAAATGGACAGAAAAGCAATCAGCTGTGGTGTGGTGCACGAAGCTGCCACCTGCAACGCCAGCAATCTATTTGGGCACCAGTTCGAGTCCTGGCTGCTCCACTTCCAATCCAGCCCCTTGCTAATGCGTTTGGGATAGCAGCAGAGGATGGTTCAAAGGCTTGGGCCCCTGCACTCACATGAAAGACCCAGAAGAAGCTCCTGGCTCCTGGCTGCAGCCTGGCCTGGCTCGGTCTTTGTGGCCATTTGGAGAGGGAACCAGCAGACAGGAGATTTCTCTCTCTCTGTCTGTCTCCCTCTCTAACTCTGCCTTTCAAATAGATAAATATAACTTATGAAAAAATCAGCTGCATGAAGACAACATCTGAGAACCTCTTCAAGTGTGACCCCGATGCGGCCAAAGCGGCCGAGGCTGCCGGAGCCCCAGCAGGTACCTCTGTCTGCCCAACACCAGCAGAACTGGACAAGTGGCCCTATCACCACAAACACCAGTGTGGTTTCTCCGGAATACAAGCTGATGCTGCTGCAGCCTACTCACCTGGAAGCCTTGGATGCAAACCGAGTCGCTCTTCACTAGGCCTGCATTGACAAGACTCATCTAACTACAGCAACTGCTGCTGGCACTCATCCAGTGCCCTCAGAATACAATCTGTCCAAAACTGCTTCCCATTATTTCAACTAAGATAAATAAATAAAAATTAAATAAAAGTTATTTTTTATTTATTTGACAGAGTTAGACAGTGAGAGAGAGAGAGAGAGAGACAGAGAAAGGTCTTCCCTCCGTTGGTTCAGCCCCCAAATGGCCGCCACGGCCAGAACTTCGCCGATCCGAAGCCAGGGGCCAGGTGCCTCCCCCCAGTCTCCCATGAGGGTACAGGGCCCAAGCACTTGGGCCATCCTCCACTGCCTTCCCGGGCCACAGCAGAGAGCTGGACTGGAAGAGGAGCAACCAGGACAGAATCCGGTACCCACATGGGATGCTGGCGCCTCAGGCAGAGGAATAACCAAGTGAGCCATGGCGCCAGCCCCTAAGATAACTTTTATTTACACACTTACATAACAGCAAAGGTGATTTGGAAGTCATTTGTGAATAGATGTGTGAGAGTAACACATACTAGGTGTATATGTTTATTGTGTGTGAGGAAATAGAATTTTTTGCACAAAAATAATTTTTTAATTATTTTAATTCCATTTTCTATGCTGACTGTGTGAGGATAAATTTTTGTGCACCAAAATAATTAATTTTCTAATTTCCATTTTAATTTCATTTTCTACAAACTTTTTCAAGTTCTTACTTAAAAAATGACCATTTAAATACCATTAGGTTCTTCCTTGAGAATCAAAGTACATCCTACAGCTTATACATTTCTTTCTTCTATATAGCAATGAGAGTCCTATTTTCAACTAGAAGCAGTGACATAAAAAATTTAATATAGTCCCTTTGAAAAAGGCAAAAGAAAGTGATTTGGAGAGAGAAGATGCCCCGGTCCGAGCACATGTCAGAAAGTCCCAAGTCTCAGGCTTTCAGCCTCTTTGGGTCACCCAGTGTACAGTTTGGAGGTTCACTATTGCAGAAGCTGGGACTATGAGGTGTCCCAGTGGCCCGTTAGCACATACGATGACCTCGAAACTCACCGTGGACGTTTAACTTCACAGACTGAGTCACGTTCCCCGCAATGTTTGTGGCAGCACAGAGATACAGCCCAGAGTCTGAAACGCGGCTCTCGGTGATCTTCACGGAGCCGGAGGGGAGGAACGTGTGTCTAAACAGAAAGCACACGAGGGGTCAGATGCTGCCTCACAGCTATGCCTCCAGGCTCAAAGCTCTGCTCTGCGAAGTCTGGAAGCCCTTCTCCCATCTGTAACGCATATCCATACACCAGGAGTCAGGAACTTTCCTGATTATCTTATGATATTCTTACACACACTAAATTAGCTTCTTTTATCCTTCAGTCCAACCTAATGATCTGAAATGGCCTAATAATGAAACACCTGAGTTACAGCTATACCAAGCAAAACATTATTGCAGTAAACTTCGAATTTACGTTTTTGACCAAATGAGTCAACCTTTTCATAGCATTAATTGTACAGTATCCACTCTCAAATATATAAATTTAAAATTAACTGCAGAATTTTGTATTAGTTAATGAATATTTTGATAAAATTTTATTTCTGAACCCCATCTCGTATGTTACCTTGGCACTGAGTATTTTTCCTACAGGGCTTCAAAAACTAGTGTACTGAAATAAAGGCATAAGAAAGTACTTACATTCTCAAATATATGTTGGACATATTCTTCAAGTCAAACAACAGTGCAGTTGGATGAACCAAATAGAAAAAGTTTTTACATTAAATTTTGTTCAGATACTTTTAAGGGAGTATAGAGGACAGACAGATCTAACATTAAAATTTCTTAAAAAGCTAAAGCAAACAAAGTGTACTTTGGCTCAGAGACACACAAATAGTTTAGTAGTTAAGGAAAGAATCTCCCAAAAGATCTAAGTGTGTACAAGAAGTCAACACGTAACGTGCACCATCAGAGGAGATATGCAAAACGGAAGGAATGGAGTAACTATTCAACATGATTCAGGCAGTTGGGTTTCCAAATGAAAAGAATAAACAAAATTAGAGCACTACCTAATATTATATTCCATACAAAATAAGAATTCAGGTGGATTAAAGTCAAAAAAGGAAAAAAACAAAGCTTAAAATTTTTGAATAAAACACTGAAGAATTTCAAAAATTTATATAATTTCAAAAATTTATAATCTTCATAAAGAACACACGAGAAGTACAAATCTGAAAAAGAACTAATACAGTGAAGTTCTTAAAAATTTAGAACTTCTGTACAACCAAACACTGTACAAAAACAAACTTAAAACCAGAGCAACAGACTGAAATAAGATTTCTCAACACACACCCACACACTCCCCGCCACCAAGAACAAAGACCAAATTTCTACATTCAACAAGATAGACAGGTCACCAGAAAACTGCACACACACTTGGGCAGCTCACAGATGAGACAATGGCCAAGAAACAAGCCCAAGTGCTCTCTGCTCATCTGAGCCTGTCACATGACAATTAAAACACAGGGACCACTTCACACACGTCGACTGGCACAGCCGCATCAGTCCGTCACCGCTGTGCAGAGCAGAAAGTGCACACAGGCACGCCGAAGGTGAGCCAGCAGTGCTCTCGTGGAGAGCTGTTTAGAGGGTCTACTCATCTGGGAACAGGAACGTACTGACCAGAAACTGGCCTACAGAAACCGATAAATAAACAGAGATAATAAAAAAGATACTAGTTTAAAGAGCTGTGCTTGCTAAACCTAAACAAAAAGCCAATTAGAAAGAAAAACTAACCAGAATGTCCACAAACAGGGAACTGGATCAATAAAATACAGGATAAGCGTACGGCGGCTGGAGGAAATGAACTGCCTGTCTACAGCGGATACACGCGGAGGAGGAGAGTAAGTAAAATAAAAAATACGTTACAGTGGCAAACTGAAGCCAGACCACCAAGCACAACTGTGAACAAGACAGGCAGTATTCCCCATGTTAAGGAAGTACAGGTGGAGGATGGACACTAGGTTTGTGGTAGCGTTTGTCCTGGGGAAAGAGGAAACTAATTCCATCTAGGGACGGGAACAACAGAACTTCAACTTTATCCCTAATACTGGATTTTTTTATTCAAAAAGATTCAAGAAACATCTCTTTTTCAAAGAGATCATACAGCTGTACAAAGTCGTTCTTGTTTATTTTTTCCCTCACAGTGGTAGGGAAACTATGCCAGCATGAGTTTCTGTCTTCATAATCATACCTCCATGAGTCTAACAGGCGACAGCTGTAATTCTCATTCCACCAGAGGCTAATGGAACGAGGCTGAGCCGACACAGTAATTGAGACCTAGAGCTTGAGGCTGTGAAATGTACGTTATCTTATATAGCTCCTCACAGGCAAGAAGATGGGAGGAGAAATCCACCTACAACAGAGCTGGAGACAACCGAGCTCACATCTGGGTTCCGGAAAAGGCCCTGGGAGCGCTCCGAGACTCCCAGATGCGCTCTCACTGGGAAGGGTGAGTCAAGGTGACATCCCTAACCATCTCGGGAAAGCCAGACCCGAACGGCACAGCCTCCACGCGGCTTCACTGCTGCTGTGGGTTAACAGAATTCCCACAAGCTACACACGTGGGGCTAACAGGAACTTACCCACAGACCGGCTCCACTGTTGAAGTGGGAAACTACCGCAAAGTGGAGTCTGGCGCTTCTGACATTAAAAGAATGACTGAGAAGGTCTATGTATTTCCTGGGGCTCAGCTGTACATGTGAATTATCTCAAGCTTAAGTTTTGCTTTTTGGTTTGTTGTTGTTGTTGTTGCTTTTCACCTGGACGCCTGGAAACCTGAACAGGCATGGCCACCTGTGACAGGCAGGCGTGTTTCTATGACTGCGGGTCAACTCAAGCCTCCTACCTTGGCGAGAAGGGCGAGATGAGCTGGGTCTCCTTGGCCCAGGTGACAGTGGGTGGGGGCAGGCTCTTCACTTCACAGGGAAGCGTCACCTCCTCTCCTGCCAGGACGGAGATCTCCACGGGCTTGTCCGGGGACAGTCCTCGCTGGTCTCCAAGCACTCGGGGCCTTACTAAAACAAACACATGTTGGAAGGGAAGTTGGACATTGGAAACAAAGCACAGTTTAAATCTGCCTTCAAATGTGGACTCCCGTGGTCTTCAGTAACTTATTAAAAGATGCTGTTTATGCCCAAGTCTCAGGGTGTATCTAAGGTTTTCCATGAATATGTTGATTATGAGAGCAGAAAGGGCAAGGGTGAGAAAGCTCCCTTGTCAGCACATCTTTTCAGAACGCAGGGAGGAGGTCGGCGGCACATGCTCTTGGAGTCTGCCATCTGTCAAAGCAGGCCCTCCAGGCACAGCCCTACCCAAGACATAGCTGAGGTTTGGCTGTGCTGGGAATTCTAACTAACTGGTGTTGCTAAGGATGGTTGGGTGTAATAAGCATGCTTCTTGGGAAAACACCATAAAAATTTTCCAAACGACCATGCAATTACTTCCCTGAAAAACAGAATCTCAGTAGAGGAGACTTTGGTTGGCAATGAAGATGTAGTTTTCTTAAAAATACAAACTTGGGGGAACAATTCACTTGAGCGGTATAGCTATATGTTGTTGGCATTTGCGAAAGAACTGTGAATTTTGGCACAGAACGATGTGCCAAAGAAAAATGGTCCCCCACCAGCTCTCACCGTACACGGTCAGCTGCACCTTCCTTTTGGCGTAGCCGGCTGCATTGGTGGCTGTGCACACATACTCCCCACTCTCGTCACCCCCGGGGGACACCACAGACAGACTTCCGTCTGCCCCTGTCGAAAACCTAGCACTGCTGCTGGAAATCAGCTCTCCCTTCTGCAAAACACAATGAAAAACAAAGAGGTTTTTAAACGTTGTTTAAGGAAATAAATGGGTGACTTCATATCTGGATGAGGAAGAGAAAAAAAAAATTTCCAAGGAGAAAAAGACTACATTTTTTAAAAAATGGTAAACTGAATAAAGTTACTTATAACAAAAATCAGTGTTATTTCTCCGCAAGAAACCATGTGCCTTTCATTGCAAAGCCACTTAAACAGGAACGGACGGGACAGTGAGCGAGTACACTGTGCCACGCACGGCTGAGCACGTCACAGGAATTGACCGTGAGTTTTAACATTAACAACCATCTTTTCTTTGAGAGACAGACAGAGCTCCCGTATCTGCTGTTTTACTCCCCAGACGCCTGCAGCGGCGGAGTCTGGGCCCAGGATGAAGCCAGGAGCCAGGAACTTGAGTCATCTCCACTGCCTCCCAGGGTCTGCACTGGCAGGGAAGTGGAGCCCAGAGCTCGAGCTGGGAATGAAATCCAGTGCTCTGATGTGGCCTGTGGCGCCCAAACCACCAGGCCAAGCACCCGCTCCCCACACGATCTGGAAGCAGGGAGCAACACAGCCCCACTTCACAGCCCAGCGTGTTAGAACACGGGGACAGGGCAGTACGGCCAGCTCCTCCAGATCACAGAGCTGGTCAGTGCTGCAGCTGCTCCTGGAACCTGGAGTCAGGCTCTGGAGACCACATTCTTTCAATTTTTAAAAATATTTTATTTATTTATTTAAAGATAGAATTACAGACAGTGAGAGGGAGAGAGAGAGAGAAAGGTCTTCCTTCCGTTGGTTCACTCCCCAAATGGCTGCAATGGCTGGAGCTACGCCGATCTGAAGCCAGGAGCCAGGAGTTTCTTCCCGGTCTCCCATGTGGGTGCAGGGGCCCAAGCACTTGGGCCATCCTCCACTGCTTTCCCAGGCCACAGCAGAGAGCTGGATGGGAAGAGGAGCAGCTGGGTGGGACTAGAACCGGTGCCCATATGGGATGCCAGCACTGCAGGCAGAGGACTAACTTACTGTGCCACAGCACTGGCCCCTGGAGACCATATTCTTAACCTCTGTGTTTGACTGCTGACAACAGCCAGCCTGGAAAGATTTCTTTTTTCTTTTCTTTTCTTTTTTTTTTTTTTTAACGTGTTGAACTTCTACTCAGAGACAGATACTGCAAAGTTCGGGGATCAGCTTCGCCACTGCACTCTGTTCAAAACACAAAAATGTTATACAGAAGTCCACACCAACGTATCCCTATTTCAGGGATTCTCAGTTGTAGAGCACACTGTCAAGCAGTACATCTCGTTAGTATCGTCATTTTACCTGGCTCTGTGTCTGACATATCCAAGTCAATCTACAGAAAGTGTAACACCTGTGGTTGTTCAAAAACGGAAAGGACTTCCTCAGGAAATGGTCTTTCCTCGCTGCAAGAATCCAGTAAAAGGCAGACAAGACGGACACAGAGGGAAGGAATGAGGCTGTGGCTGTGTCTTGCAACGGGTGGTCATTCTACCGCAGCACCTTACAGAAAGGGGCGCCCACGCCGCTACGTCACTCGCCACGGCCTCGACGGTCTTTGGTGTAACCACCTGCCGTACGCTGGAACGGCACTGGCGATCCAACGCGAACACCTCCACGGCACACACGGTGCTGTGCTTCCGGAACTTTGCTGAGCACGCTGCGTGTCCCAGAGAGCCTTGTCCACCGCCTGTCACAGCCCCGGGCCCTCCCCACCGCAGCACAGCTCTAGAGCACCATGGACTACGCCAGGGTACTTCCTGCACTCAGGTCTTTGTCCCAGGTCCCTGGAGGCTACTCAGCCTGCGCGAAGGTGGCAGGAGGCGCAGGGGGCCCTGCTGAGGCTGGTGTCGAGTCCCTGGCTTGGTGAAGCTCATCAGCCCAGCCGCAGAAGCAGCCCGCTGAGCCAGGCCCACGCTCCTGGGCAAGTCCCCGAGGAATACCTCCCAAGTACACACCGCTCTGGGTTCTGTGGGGGCAGGGCTGGGTATGGTGCTTACCTTGGACCAGACGATGGACGGCTTGGGAATCCCACTAGCTTTGCACGGCAGGGTCACTGGGACGCCTTCGATCGTACTGAGTATCTGCTGCCCGTGCTGAATGGTCGGTGGAACTGAAAGAGAGTCAGAGTCTGAGCGCCGGCTCTTCCACGTAGCGCCAGACAGGTGAGGTCACACGTTTTCAGGACACACCTAATGTCCAAAAAGATGTGGGACGTGTTCTGTAGAAAGGTGATCTCTCTAAGAGTGTGCTAGACCAAGACAAGACTGGAGTTACGAACCACACAAATTTAATAAAAACAAAATCAAGGAGGAGGTGATATCACTCCTAACAGCAACAAAACGCACTAAGGAGAATTCATTTTTTTCCGGAAGTAAGACAGAACTGCACCTCAAGAGTCACACATGGAGCTTGGAGCACTGATCACTATCCACTGCCAATCAAGCCGCAGCTGAGTGGACGTGAGTCCAAGACAAGATGGACACGGGGGCTCCACACAAGACGGACTCCAGGGAATGGGGCTGTTTAACCAACTACATATTAAATATCTGTCTGCACAAAAACAAACAAAAAAACCCTTAGTGAGCTCCTACATTGAACCCAGTAAAAGAGGTCCTTTCTCTTAAAAGGAATTCGACAATAAAACTCAAAGATCCTACGAGTTTATATGTAAAAGACTCAACTACAGGATTTTAAGTCAGTGTTTTTCAGTAAGAATAAATTTAGAAAGAACTCAAAAATTAGCATCATGTAAGTAGAAGGAAAATAACATTTATTTCTCTACTTGTGCATATTACATTTAATCAAAACCAACTTACAAGGGTGATCAGTGCTCCATGCTTTCAAAACGATGATTCTGAGTAAAGAAGTTTCTGTGCAGAGCTCCCAATCATGCAGAGAACTCAGTCAACGCCCCGTGTGCAAGAGGGTTTTACCACGTTCATGGAAAATCTGCATTTTCCATGAGCGTTCCGATGTGCCTTTTATCCCCCCAAAATGAGAGGGACGCTGCTCCTCCTGGGGCTCACTCACTCACCACGTCTCCTGCTTGACACCAGATATTTTTCAGAATTATTACAACTGCCCTGGGGTAGAAGCTTGCAAGAACAAGAGGTACCACAGCCACCAGTTCAAAACACTCACTGGAAGGTTTAGAATAGGTATGGTACACTGTCACTTTTACTGAGGCCAGGCTCAATCTTCAGATAATTTCTTCCTAAAATATCCTAAAATACAGCAACAATTTTCCATACTTAAATAGGGATGGGGCGCTACCAGCTAAAGCAAAAATTTCATTGCCAGAATCATCACGAAGCAGTCAACTCTCAACCATGCTGTCAATTGGTGGCAACACAGAATAAGCCATTCTCTGAAATCCATGTTGATTCTGACAGCAATAAAGAAAAGCGGAAAAATGCAGGCAGCAGTTTTGAAATCTGATGACATCTGGGCAAGGAAGAGCAGTTTCTTTCCAGACAGTTAATCGACATAAATTGAAATGACAAACTGCTGTGTCATTTAATTTGCATTTATATTTGTGTTCACTCTTCTTTTAAAAGTTGAGACCTTCTAATGAGCATTTTTTAAAAATTTTGGATGTGTTTTTAATTTTAATTAACAAGGACATTATCATGATTATTATGAGACTTTACACTTAAAATGAAGTACAACTTAATCATTTTAAGCTGCCTTAACTGTTTTGAAATTTATAAAACAAAAATTGTTACATAAAACTCTTAGATAAGAGTTCTCATATACTCCTCATACCACTTCTCTTAGTTTTTTAAAAAGATTTCTTTTTAACTTGAAACCAAGAGTTACGGGAAGAGA